CCCTCCTCCACACAAGAGCCTTGACGGCTCGTAAAGGCTCCCACTGGCTGTGGGAGTGATCGCGAAGATGAGATAGGCTTTAGGGAGTTGAAGGGTGGCACCCTAGCTACTGGTCCAAAGACCTCGGAAGGAACCACGGCTCATGGTAGGGACCACGACTAGTGGGACCAAACGTGGTCATGAGGCAGACCACTTTAGCTTAGGGTTAATTTGTCTTTTCCGATTTTTATTAAAACAAAGTCATGCCATTTTGCCTAAGTCTAGGACCCCTATATAAGTCATTTTAACTTTAAAACTCACCCATTCAAGTCATTAATTCTACAACCCAAAAGAAAATCAAAGATCTTCCTCTCCAAAATATTTCTCTCTCTAGAAACATGAAGAAGAAGGAGGAGATTCAAGCTAGGGTTCAAGAGCAAGCTTACATACTTTAATTGCTTTGGGCTTTGATAGTAAGGTATGGTAGTTTTCATCCATGGAGTTCCCAAATTCCTCAATTTTCAAAGGTAGAATTCCCTAATTGAGTTAGGGTTTTCTTCAATTGTCATGGATTCTTTTCAAAGTTGATTTAATTGACTGAATTATGATTTATTATGCATGAATTGATGATTTTATGATGATTTCCCCATGAACCCTTCTAACCCGCATATTTTCAAGTTGTGAATCATGTGATGAGGGATTTTGATTGAAAAGGAAGAGTTTTATAAAATTGAGAATGTATTACAAGCTTTACATGAATTTATGATGAAATCCATATCTAACCTATGTTTCTAAGTATTGAAGATTGAAAGTAGGTTTTGAACCTCAAGATGTAAATTATGGAATTATGCATTTTCTTATGAAAGCTATGCAATTGTATTAAGGTTGCTTGGAGATTAAAGTATCAATGTTGATGTTGTTGTTGTGTTGTTGAAAGGATATTCTCATAAAACACAAATTATCATGATTGTGAAAGGAAATTCTCACATAGTAAGGATTCTTAGGTTGAAAGACTTTCTCACCTAATTGAATCTAAGATTAAAAGTGATTATGGATGGTAAAAGGTTTTCTCACACATGGTCTAAAGAGCTATCCTAAAGAACTAACTTTGATTGGTTGTCCAAGGACATTTTTCCATGAGACATGAGTGAAGTCAAGACTTAATAACTACTCCGTGGGATTTATGCTTAGCACCAAGTGGATATTGAATTGATATGGAAGCTGCCCTATAGTAGAGGCCGGGTTTGTAGAAGCAATCTCTTGAGATGGAAGCTCTCCCGTAGAAGAGGTCAGGTTCTAGTAAAAATCTCCTTATCCCTTAAACTATGTGCCCCCATAGGTTATTTAGCTAGTGGATCCACCTAAGCTAAGAGTTAATGATTCTACCTTAGGCAAGTAGACCAACTCTTTTCGGTGTGGGAGACATCGTGGGATCATGTTATAGCTCATATGGTCTCGATGTCGGTTAAGGCTAATTCCCACAACAAGATTAATAATGAACTAAAGCTACTTCAAGAAGTATCCCATGGTGTTCAAAGGCTTTAAGGATGATGCTAGCTTGCATTGAATATGATGTTATGACTTATGTTTTCCAACTCTCTCATATGATGTTTTAGCTTTGTTAAATTGCATGTCATGAAATGAAATGTCCCTTTTAGCATGTTTTAAATGTTTTATGCATGACTATCATAGTTCATATATTGTTTTGTACTAACACATACTCTTGCCTACATTTTTACCAAATATTGGGCTCGACAGTCAGGGTCATCAATTTCGTGGCTAGGAGTTGACTTGCGATATTTTCGGAGCTTTGGTGAGTCCTCATGCTTCGAGGATGGAGTTTTATTGTATTCAGTTTCTTTCATATACTTCTCTTTTGGACATGATGTATGGGCTAGGCCCAAATTTCATTCTATTGTAATAGATGGCTATGATGAGACAAAGTGTCTAGACTTCCGTTGTTCTTTTATAAAAACTTTTTGGACTTTCAATGTTGTTTTACTCTTATTGTTCTATTTCTTATGTTATGAGGACTATGTGGCTTGTATGGAGTCCTTCGGGGGTTCAATATGTCATGTTACATCTAGGGTGGACCCTAGGTTGTGACACAACTATGGCATGTACATCCATCCACGAACCATACTTGTCAACCATGGAATATAACTTTTGAAACCCCAAGATTCCAAAGTCAACCATGACTTGGATTCCGGAATCATGGGACCATACATGACTCTTATCTTTTAAAGGAAGAAACCTCAGAGTTATGTCAATCTAAGCTTGGATTTTAGTTGTTTCTTATCAAATTATTTTGGAATGAACATTCCCTAGGTGTTGTCTCTATTTCTTCTTCTATGAGTAGCTAGACCCTCATCTAGGATTGTGTGTGCTAGCTGGTGGTTTTAAACCCTAAATGGTATTGATTAATCAACTCTAATATCGATTGTATGGAATGGATCTATTGTTATCTTGAAGTTTTAATCTAAAAATTAGTGGTTGCAAACATTGATTGAACTTTTTAACATCGTTTTGTCTTGGAAAAGCATAATGGGACTTTTTGAAATTACTCAATGGGTGTTTGGTGTTTTGTTTGAAAGGGTATTGGAGTTTTTAAGAACCCAATGGATATAAACTTGATAGTTAAGGATATTATCAAAGTGTAGCCTAGACCAAGTGTTATCCATGTATCAATCGATGTTGTTTCGATTAATCTATTCATCTTCGAGTTGAAACCCCAATCGTTATGGACTACCCTTAGACCTTTCCAAACTTATTAGACCCTATTTGTGTTGATTTCTTGTTTTGTTTCATAATATTGATGAAAGTTTAGTTGTTAGATACCCCCCCCCCCCATTTTTATATATACATGTTGTTCAGAACTTAATTTGCTAGTTTGTTTTGAATTATGAAATCAGTAGAAGAAGAATCACATCTGCCTTTTATGATGGCTACATATTTAGAGCTCAATCAGTCTATGCCTATTGAGAACCACGTGTGTGGTACTCATACTACACTTTCCACCCTATAGATCATAGTACGAGTTCCCACCATAGTAGCTATGGATCAGAGACTAGGGGTGAGCTTCTTTTAGATTTGTTCTTCTATCCTTTTGTTTTTTGCTGGACTAGTCTTTATTTTTTGTTTGGGAACTATTTTCTTTACTGTACTTATCTTTTACTTATTTTATGGTTAATAACTTGAGTACCGACTGATATTAGGTTTTGGGAATGTTTGTGTATATCTTGACTCTTCTTCTTTTATTTCTTGTATTTGTTCATTGCTTTAGCCTTCTTATCTTTCGTGTGATAGTCCGTTACTTCTAGGTCCAGTCTATGGGTTCGGCTTACCTACTAGTGGAATATATGTAGGTGTCATCATGATCAGACATTTTGGGTCGTGACATGTGGCCTACCAAAAGCATGGATAAATGGGCTATTATTTTGTCAATTGACCCATAAAGATCTGGAAATTTCAAATAGTGTTTGGGATTGGAACTAAAATGAATTTAGATAAAAATGAGCATTTATAAATATTGTTGTTTCGGTGCCATCATAATTAAACCAAACTGTTAAAAGAAAAGAATAACAAATAAAATAACGGAAAAGAGACAAAAAAACACCCTTAACCTTTGAGAAACGGTTCGTAAATACCCTCCTTCCACCTTTGGGTCCAAAAATACCCTTAATGTTTATTTTTTTTGGGATAAAATATACCCTTCAAACTAACAAAATTAGGGTCAAGTTTTGACTCTTTAAAAAGAGTTGCGTGACATTTTCTAACTAGTCACAGATTTTAATCTTAACTTAATTATATATAAACCTACCAATCTTTGGAACCCAAAACCCATAGCCGTTTTAAAGAACATAACAATTCTTCATCTCCATAGAGTCCTTTCTTCTTTATTCAATTTGTTGACTCATTAAACAAAGTATATGAGAAATATTGAATTGTTGAACACTAAATTTAGCTGAAATCGTGTCAATCAAAATAAATAGTATTGCTACGTATTCAAAGCATGCACCTATATATTTGGCTACTTCACTGATTTGAAAGAGAGAGGAATACTAAATTGCTGAAATGTACAGACATTGTTATTGATATTTCTCATAACCAATTGTTGCATCTAACTGCTACTAAACTGAAATAGAAAAATAATTAATTGTCAATCACTATAAAAGCATAATCATTGCCATAAGCCCATAACATTGGCAGAATTGATTCATCACAAAAACATCAAAATTAGTCATTTTTTTAATTTCTTGCAGAACATCATAGCAACTACAACATCAAAATATAATCATATGCATAATTGCTTTCATGAACACAGTAACCATCAAAAGAGTTCAACTTCAAATTGTGTAAAACCAACCCATTTTAGCTTTCATCTTTTCAAAATAGTCAGACTAAATGGAGATAAAGACCCAGATAGAAGAGTTCTGATTACCTAAAATGGGTTTGGGTTCTAAAAATTGGGTGGGTTTCTATATAATTAATTTGAAATTAAAACATGTGACCAATCAAAAATGCCACGTGGCTCTTTTTAAAGAGTCAAAACTTGACTCAAATTCTGTTAGTTTGAGGGGTATGTTTGATCCAAGAAACAAACATTAAGGATATTTTTGGACCCATAGGTGAAAGGAGGGTATTTATGAACCATTTCTGGGTATTTTTTACCCTTTTCCAATAAAATAATGATAATCCTTTTTGATAAAGTAAAATAAAGTTATGATGTTTCTATGCTTCTCTCTATGGAATTCTGATAGATATTACGTTAAAACAAAAAAAGTGCAGTTTCAAATTTCAAAAGCCAACAGTTTACACATAATGTAAAGAAATGTATAACAAACTAACTATTGAATGAAACGACATGAATATGATCTCCATATTAGTTTATGCATGATCCTTGTAGGGATACGCCCATTTATGTAATGGGGATTCAAAATTGTAAACTGAAAATTCAGCTCTCGGTATTGCTAAATAAGAGATGGGGTGGAACATAACCATCAACTCAATCTCCATAAATGTCAGCGATCTTCTTCGATGGTTTCAACTTCAGGATTTTTTCCCCCTTTTTCTTCTTTTACCGATGCATTGACCATTGTGTTTGAACCAAGCGAAACAGAGAAGGGACTTGGAGTAGTAGGGACAAAATTCGTCAACATAGGCTCTTGCAGCTCTGCTAAAAGAAACAACCAATATTAGAAAAATAAGAAGACAAACAAAAAACCTATAGGAAAGAGCTTATAAGATTCGACATAAATAGAAAATTTTGAATATGACTCCAAGTAAGCGATCACAAATAAAGTCAATAGATCTCATATTTTACTATAGAAAGTCAAATGGAAAAAAATTAAGATTTAAGAGATATGTAGCTCATGAAGCCCATCATTTACATAGACGACGGGAAAGTTACTTTAATGTTAGACCTATATAAACCCAGATGTAGGCCTGATGTTGTAAGCTTTACATTGTTACTTATTTTAAATGTTAGATATGAACAAACAACAAAACTACATATCTAACGTATTGTTACAAAAAATAAGATAGTCATATTGGAGAACAATAAATAGTTGTGAATGCGCAAAACATAAACCGAAGGACATTGTAACACAACCCATTTTTGGAATACTATATGGGCATAATCCAAACTTATCAAGATTTTCATGTTTAATGAATGAATACAACTGTCGAATAACTATTTTTGCCAGAGTCTTCGATAAGAAAGAGGCGTCTGAGTAAACAGAAGTGAGATTCCATCATTTCAGAGCCGACGCCTCCTTTTCTGCCTTTCTATCTATACTTCCCATCCGGAGGAGGAAGCTCCCGAGAGGGAAAGAGAAGAAAAGAACCAATGACATCATCCCAAGCCGATTGCTTCTCTCGAGCTGGGTACAAAAAGATTTTAGATGTTGTTTTTTCTTTTCTAATATAACTACTATACATAAGATAAATTATATGAAGACACTCTCTCTATCTAATTTTATGCAACATTCTTGTTCTAATTTGAACTATTGCATCTTAAACAAACAACCTGCATAACAATAAACATTGTCTCTAGGATCTCAATCAATACCTAGTAATATTCGCCCTTATTTTCTTAAAATAAATATGTAAATGAATTATACAAGATAGAAAATGTGAGAGTTTAAAAGAATTAGCTTACCTGATTTTCCATGAGCAAAGTGACAACGATCATGGAAAGGGCATTGACCTGTTGTCTCCCACTTGATACATATCTTTGTTTTACAGTATATAGGTATCTCAATACGGACAATATCATTTTCATGCCTACTAGTCTCAATCATACTAGGATCACTTATGTTCCTTGTAGTTTTGATACATATTGCAGAAATCTCCCTATCCCTTGCCATGTTGGTGTTAATTTTTGAAGGACGTTCATGAAGAAATTTGCACTTATATCCATAAGGACACTCCTCTCCATCATAAAATATCTTGCAAATTTTCATCCTATGCAATTTTTCTTGATCCTCATTCAACTCCCTATCCTTTACACATATTAGATCCTGCCAATTTGGAGGAGGGTTCCGCAAATCTTCAACACCATGAGCAAATGTACAATTTTCCCCATTCTTGAAAGTTTCTTTCAAGAACATAGCACACATGCGGGTTTTATAAAATATATGACTTGTCCCTTTGCTTTCTTGAAGATTTGGTGAGTTCATTCTGGATTTAATAGCTGGGAATGTTGCAGAATTTGGCAAGTTGCTATTGGAATCCGTCATTCTCTTGAAAGAAGGTGCATGCTCAAACTGACAATAGGACTCAAAAATATCATGGTTCATTGGAGAATTAGGCCAAACACCTCCAGCACCACCACCGGCAAATGGCATTGGCATAAAGTGTAGAGGAGAAGGTGGTTGATCGAAAAAACTCATATTCCTTTTTCTTATGTTGATTGTTTAAATGAAATCTGATTCTATTATTTCTTGTCTCTAAAAAAAAGTAAATGAGGATTCAAACTTTTAATAGAAAATAGAGAAAGAAATAAAATATAAATCATTGACAATTAGGAAAAAGGAGAATAAGTAAAATCAATAATAACTAACACATGACAGAAAAATAGAGATACTATTGACATAACAAAATACTGTAAAGGTAAACATTGATGACTAAAACATACATTCGTAAACAACAACAAAATACCTAGTGTAATATTATAAGTATTTTCTGGAAATGATAGGACATACACAAACCTTTACATTTTCTTTGAGGGGTATAGAGGTTGTTTACAGAAGACTATCAGCTTAAAAAAGACTTTTCAAAGTAGAGTTGTAATGATGATTTTTAAACAAGAGTGCATAGAAACAAAGAAAGAACAATTTGTTCTCTCAGAGTTATGGCCTTATTCATATTTTACCCAAAATAACATGCTTGAGATAATAAAAAAATAAAAGTGAGTCGTGACTCACATCTAATAACAAACAAATGAAAAGTCATGACTAAAACAATGAAACTATTGTAAAAAAAATAACGATTTATTAATTTTCAATATTTCTTTCTCTCTCTCCCATTATTCTGCCTTCTTCATCATCTTTCAAAATTCTCCTCTCTTCGACACTTTTTGAAATAAATATTATATATTCTTCTTGGAAGCGTGAAAATATACACCACACTAGCCCAAGCATGAAACTTTCCCTTTTAAAGAGAAATTATTTGACTTCTTTCTTTTTCTTAACTTTAAATAAATTGTTCTTTGATATCCGGTGAGGAAAAATATTTTTCATATACATTTCCTTGGACTGATTTATTTTTCTTAACTTTAGATTCATCCTTCTTTACAGCTTGATAAACTTTGGGTTGCAATAATCCACACGGTTATTTGTTCGCTTTTGTGTTTGTTTACTATTTTAGCTCTCCTTGTAGCTTATATGCTATATTTGTGTCTTGTCGGGGTGGTTCGATTACTTTATGAGGTGTTCAGAATTCGGATGAGTTTTTCCCCATATGTAGCTCTTGTATTGAAAGAGTTGACTTCGGTCAACATTATTTATAAGCAGGCTAGGATGAGATTTATGTTTGCATCATTAGTGTTGTGTATTAATATTGATCTAGTAGGACCTTTGGTTTAGATTCCATACTTGTTGGGTTAATTTTTGAAAGTTTGATTACTTGATACTGTTTAGTTGTTTTGGTTGTAGTGTTGACTTTAATCAATATTTCATCGAGACGACCTCCATTGGTTATTTTGATGATTCTACCAGAATGTCTTTTCTAGTTGGAAGCATGTTTGGTTTTTATTTGCAGGACTTTGAATGAATCTGAAAGGTCTATTTGGTACCTTGAAATTTTGCTCTATGTTGTTGAGGCAACTACTCCTACACTAAGATTGACGCACTAGCAAAGGTTGGTATAAGAAGGCAGTCACAATTGCAGAGCCTCAACACTTCGGCGATGGCGCAACGGGGAAGCTTTGCCACTTCTATGGGATAACTCCATGAGATTGTGGTAGCTTGGACATAGCTAGAGGAACGTGATTGCCTCTTCTCTAGCAATCAGATTGATGAGTATAGTTTGTAAGAGCGACAATTGTTGAGTGTTTTAAGTCTCTTAGTTTTTTTAAGTCATCTTAGACTGAACTATCATTGAAGAGAGCTTAGTCTACAAAGAATTTCTTTATTTCATAATTTTTTTTTTGTGATTCAAAGGATAATTTCTTCCCCTTTGCTTCTTCTATCTTATTTAAATTTCAATTCCACAATTTTTTCTCATTTTCCCCCTCAAATCCTTGATTTTTAGTTCTTGAAAATAACTTTTTGAACTTTTTAAGGTCTGAATTTACTCCCAACTTCTCCCAGTTATGAAGCATATGATCCTGATCTCAAGGGGAACTTAATGTCAGAATTGGTTTTTGATGAGTCGGGGATTTAGACTCATTTAGGGCTTAATATCTAGATTTTTAGTGTCCTCAATACTTATTTTATGCTCTAAACTGGTGTTTAAATGCTAATTTGCAGAAATGAATGAAAAAGAGCAAGGTACGGACATTACCAGACCAAAAGGAGCGAAAGCTGAAGAAAAACAAGGTTGATGCTCGCAAAGCCACCCGGCGAACAGCCAAGTGGCTCTTCAGCCTGCCTAAAGTTACAACAGATGATCCCTTGGACAAAGACAACTCGATGATTGAAAGGGTAAATCGGCAAACCGCCAACTGGATCGGCGAAGGAAGTTCTAATCACCTAAAGTGACAGACGGAAAGTGTGGAAAATCCAAGTCAAGAAAGCGATGGAAGGAAGCACTCGGCGATGCTCGACTTACTCCACCAAGTGGATTAAAACTGAAAAATCTGGAGGCGTATTAATGCTATTTTAAAAAGAGTTTTAGGGAGTTCTAAAAATTTGGACAGCTCCTACATTGGGTTTTTGATCCCTAACTCTGTTCTTTATGTTTTTGAGTAGAGATATAGGTTTTAATTGATTTGGAATTCAATTTGTGCATTTTGAAGACTTGTGGATTATTACCCAAGCTAATGGAAACCATATTCGGTAACTATTTCTTGCTCTTTATTATGTGTGGCTAAAACCCCATTCTTGGGGGTGTGATTATGTGATTGAATACCTCAATTAGCTTATGTGTGTTAGTATTTACTAATTTGATTGTGATTTGAAGTCGGTTTAATTAGTAGTTGAGCTATAATTGATGAATTGTAGTTGCAAATGTAGTTCAAGTCTAGCATTCTAAGCTTGCTTGATAAAGAGGTTTTAGAGTTAAAACTATTAATTGATGATTGTAGTAATTGGGTTATTGTAGACTTATCTTGAAAAAGTGGGTCTAAATTCAATCCTACCAATCTAGCTTGAAAGAATAGATTAATTGAGGTATTGGGATGTTTATATTTTTTATGCTTGTCGAGGTTCGAGAGAACTCGCTCGATTCGTAATAGTTGATTGAGAAATGTCTATTACCCCTAAAGCCTATCCTACCAACTAAGATTCAATGATTGTTAGTAAGTGATAATCACCCATATAGAGAAATTGGTGTTCAATTGATCACACTCCCAAGGATCCCTCTCTACTTGATTACATTTGTATGTTCTTATTGTTAACTGTTCACTCTAAACCCCCAATTGACATTAATTGTTAAACCCCTACCATTTACTTTAGCTTCTTTGAAAATGTCTACTTCTACAAACGATTAGAATACTATTTCACTCCGTAATTGAATTCTTTATCGTACCGCTCCATGTGGGATCAACCCCAACTCTTTGCTGTCGTTATACTTGATTGTGACCGCCTACACTTCGAATCGGATGAAGTGTAGTTGAGCCTTAAAAAAATGGCACCGCTGCTGGGGAGCGGTGTTTTGAATTAATTTAGTGAACTTTAGTTGTGAACTGATTGTGTTGTAGTTGAATCAACTTATTTTGTGTTTTGTTGGTTGCTCTTAAATATGTGAAGTTATGAATGTTAATGGGAGCAATGCTAGTCAACTTGGGCATAATGATGACATCGGTAACCTGAACTATGTTAAAGAATATTAGTTGGGAAGTGCGGGTGCTATTCGATTACCTCCAGTTGTGGGCAATGCGTTGTTTCATGTAACTAGCACTATTTTGCAGCTGTTGCAAATGAAGGGTCTATTTGGAGATTTTGCTACTGAGGATCCTCAGGACCACATCCGAAACTTTATAGATGTGTGTGGGCCATTTTCTTTCAAAAATATTTCTCAAGAGTCGGTTCGACTTCGGTTCTTTCCCTTTTCCCTGATGGGGGGAGCAACGAAGTGGTTGGCTGAGTTACCAAGGGATTCAATCACTTCTTCGGATGAGCTCACAAATGCGTTTTATGTAAGGTTTTTCCCTCCCTTGAAGATGCTGACTTTGAGAGATAATATTCAGAACTTCAAACGAGTGGATGGTGAATTGATTCATTAGATATGGTTGAGGTTTCAGAAGTTGCTGCTCTAATGCCCAACTCATGGACTCCCAAACAATGTGTTGCGATAATATTTCTACCGAAGTCTAGATTCAATCAACAAGGATGTGGCTGATCAGCTTGTTAGAGGAGGAATCATGCAACCACCGTTTGATGTAGCATCCAATCTTCTTGACAAGACGACAAAAATCAGCCGTGCTTGGTACACTAGAGAGGCTCAAGTGTCTCCTCTCAACTTCAAGTTGACAAAGGAAAAAATTGAAAAGGACCAAGTGCGGGATGCAAACATGGCCAAGATGATGACCCAAATGGACCTATTGTCAAAACATATCATGTGTAGTGGTTCTAAGGTTGTGCATACGATTTGAGTTAATATAGTGAATCCCGATGAAGTGCAATTTGAAGCTATTTACAATGAGGAAGTTCACTTCTTAACAAATCAAGGAGGAGGTTTCCCCCTGAACAATCCAAGGCTCGATGGGAGCCAAGGCTAGAATAGGGACCGTGATCACGGTTGGAGAGACCGAGATAGGGAATGGCGTGACCGTGGTATGAATTTTAGAGAACTAGACGGTGACAAAGAGAGATATGTACCTCCCCATGAGCGTCAAAAGACAAAAACACAAAGGGCTGATCCTGAAAATTTCCGCACTGAACATATGCTTGCACGCATTCTCAAAAAAGTGGAAGGATCGGACAAAGTGCTAAAAGAAATGAAAGATGATGTCTCATCTGTCAACCAAATAGTTACATCACATTCGGTATCAATTAAACAGCTGGAAGCACAAATGGGTCAAATCTTGACTCATTTAAACCCAAGACCAAAAGAAGGCTTACCGAGTGATACCATGGTCAACCCAAAGAATGAAGTTTGGAAGCATGTCCTCATCGTGCCACATTGTTAAATAAGGCATTTCTTGCAAGGCAATCTAAGTTTTTAGTTTTTAATGTTGTTGTTTGAATAACAAATGTTTGATGTGCATGTTGAAAATTTGAAATTTTGG